CAAGGATGCAAACCACTCAATTCAATCCACTGAATAGCTCAGTGGCGTTGAGTTGACCTAGTCAACTGCGAGCCTCAGTGTCGTTGATCAACTGAGCTCGAAATTGAGTTGAGTGGATTTAAATTGACGTTGATTTATGTACAGGTTCACCATATCATTCATCCTCTTCATCCAGATCCATTAACTCTCCTTCAACTTCACCGTTGCACTGGTCAACAGGAACAAGCAATACATCCAGATCATCAATCACCCCAGCTCGTAACCACGACCGCAGCACTTGGCACATTCCAATCATATCAGCATCAAGTCGACTTCGCAGCGGCGTCACCATTCGCCCGGCTGCCGAAAATAGCCTCTCACACTCCGCTGACATAGCCTGAATCGTCAAGAAATCCAGCGCCATTCGCGACAGGCGAGGATATCGCCGCCTACGTTCGTGCCAGTACGACAAGGGATCACGGACATCGCCGTCTCCGTCCTCCCATGACGACTGCCATAGTTCTAGCTCGTCTTCGTCATCTTCCCCGTCGAAGCGGTCGGCGTCGGCTAGCTCGTCTTTCACCGCGGCAGATCCAGATACGGAGCGCGTGCGCTCGCAGTACGCTTGGAATGGATTATAGTACTTCCTCTGACGCTTCGCCGCAGAGTCGCCAGTCATAACACTAGGTTCTCCCCGTAGGCGGCGGTATTGCGTTTCCCACACCTCTCGGACCATTTGCTTGGCCTTTTTCACCCAATCCGGACGATCTTGCCACTCAGTCTCGAAATACCCCCATCGAAAGGCCGGGTGCAACGCCAAGGCCGTGCAGTAGATCGGCGTATCATCCAGCAAACGGTAGTACTTGTTGAGCTTTTCCCAGCCCAAATTAACATTAATCCTAAAGTGCTCAGGGTCGGGTATTCCGCATGCGAGCTGCTTATAACCCTCGAGGGCTTCTAGAAGAAACTCGAACCCCTGAATGACCTCCCACACATTTCCGTACGAGCCAACCCATCCTCGTTTTCGCTTGCGCAGTTGGCCATCGCCCTCTAGAGTCCTGACAGCATCTTCGTAGAAACCAAGCAGTTTGGCAAGATGCTCCAGGACTACCCAGTCGTTGCTCGTCAATTGGTTTACCTCCATGCAAATCCGAGGCTCCTTAGCTGACTTTCTAATACCGCCCGTTCTCTTTGACCTATTCTCCTGCTCCCATTGTTGGCGATGTTTCAGAATGAGCTGCTCGAGAAACGGTCGAAGAGTAAGGGCGCGCCGGATCATATACAGCTGGGAGAGCCAACGGGTGTCATTGTCGATGATCAGATCGAGAGGCGTGCTGGCTTGTATCTTTGGATCGGAGGACATGTCGAATTCGGAGCGTTGTATACTTCGTAGCAGGTAAGTAAGCTGGTCCGATCTTCTGACGTCCACCACAAGGTTATGTAGCTTTCCCACAGGCCCCTTACGCCGCCAAAGCGTGTGCTCGGCCTCGGACAATGGTGCTGCACCTGACAGCTGCTCCTCAAAAGCCGCAGCATTGTGCCCGAAAAGAAGTGCTTTGGCGGAGAGGTTTAGACTATGGCCAAAGCAGCGGCCACGCCTTGTAGATCCAACAAATCCAAGCTCACCCCCAATGACTTCCATCGCGGCGTCATTGCTCTCCGCGTTGTCCAAGGTAAAGTATCCAATCTTATCCTGAATCCCATAGGCAGCAAGGGTGTCTAGGATTTCCGCAGCAATATCGTGCCCAAAGTGGCGAGTTCGCAATTCGGGAACACCAAGCACCAGCTTGCACGGCTTGCTGTTCCCATCCCGAAAGAAGCACGTTACACCGTAGAGGCTATGCCTGTTCCCCGACCTCCATCCGTCAAAAGAGATGTGAATCAACCCGGGCGACTTTTGCAACACCGCGGCCACCTTGTCCTTGTGTGCTTCGTAGGATGCAAGAACCTTATGTCGAATAGTCGTTCGGCTAATGTTGGCGTCGGTGATCTTAACGAGAGGGTTGAGGTATTCGAATATTGTACGCAGCCTCCCCTGTTCGCACACACGAAAGGAGTGGTTCTCTTCGACGATCCATTCCAGCACCAGACGCTGGAAGTGTTTCCGATCAAACCCCTGAACAAGATGGTTTGCAATATCTTGCTCTCGTGGAAGCCGCGTGTCGAGTTTCATCACGTCAACAATGGATCTTTGGTCTTTGGCCTTCACCTTTTCTGCTCTCTTCTGAGCTGACGATTTTGTTCCGTCGTCGGGGGCACATATGCCATGATCTCTGAATAAATGAGCATTTGCGTTCTGGATGCCCTTCTCTGCGAAACTCCTTGGCCGTGGGCTCTTGATTCGGATACAGCGTTTGCAGACCCATCGGCGGTTGCCGTCAAAATTCTGTACATCGTACCCAAAATCCCATACCCAAGATGACGTATCGCGCAGGCGCTGTGACCATGTGTGGTTAGGGAAACAGCGCCAGAGGTATTGATGCTCCGAGTCTGGATGAGGCGTTGCCGACCGTGAGCTCGGTGCGGGTGTTGCTAGGAAACTCGACAATGCAGTTGTTGGGCGATGGGGCGAGTTAGTGTCATCCTTGCTTGGTGAGGTAGACTGCATTTCGATTCGTTGGTGGATATGGATACGCGTGATCGGATGTTGCATGGACGCGATTCTGGCGTTCAGAGGGTGCTACCATGCCGGCCATGCCTAGTTCGGCTTAGCGCCGGTAGGATGGGAGTGTTGCCTTGGCCAGACGCTGCTTTGGGGCTGGGTCGGCAACAGGCATCATACCCTATATATCAACGACGTCAACAGCTCAATCCACGAATCAGTGAAATGGGTTGATGTATTATGTAATCGGACACGATATTGATTGAGTTGAGTTGACGTCGGTGGTCAATTTGGTCAACCCGGTTGAATTACGTTGAGTGGTTTGCATCCTT